ACGCCTCGGCCAGCAACGGAGAAGCCAGCGACGGGGCAGCCTCATCCAGCACAGGCGATAGCCGGCCAGCGACAGAGGCAGGTGAACTCGGCCCAGGCGAAACCGGCCCAGGCGACATCGGCGTAGCAGGCCGAGGGGGCGACGGAGTTGGTGTAGCAGGCCGAGGAGGCGAGGCCGACCCAGTTGCCAACCGAGGTACCGGGGACACCGCGCCAGTCGGCAAGGGCATCACAGACGGCCCAAGCGCTGGTCCAGAGGCCAGAGGCGCCAAGTCACCTGACATCGCTGGTTCGACCGAATGTGCATGAGCACGAGAATCGACGCCATGCAAGGGTGCACCCTTATTGTCATTAGGCGCAGGGGAGACCGACGAGGGAGACACTGGTGCCTCCAAGAGTTCAAGCCGAGCCCCGCGTCCAGTGCCTGCACCATGGTTAGGCAGCAAAATAGGAGAGTATGCAATATCATCAAATTGTTCAGAGGCAACAGAGGATGAATGCATAGATGGTGGTTCAGTAGTGGACACAGGAAGTTTGGCAAATGGAAAAACATGCTCATCAAACACGACATCCTGAGATATATAAACACGATTGGAGGGGACATGAAGACATTTGTAACCTTTATGAAGGGAGCTATAGCCAAGGAAGACACACTTCTTGGAACGAAACTCAAGCTTGCGCTTGTTATATGGACGGAGATGAGGCCAGCAAGCGCATCCAAACACCTTGAAGAAGTTATAATCAGGTTGTTCATTAAGGAGAACTTCAATGGGAGTCTTCATGTTCAAAACACGAGTGGGAGTACGGTTTATGAGGAAACATGAAGTGGTGAGAGCATCACTCCAGAAGTGAAACGGAACCGATGCATGGGCCAGAAGAGTAAGACCAGTTTCAACAATGTGATGATGCTTACGTTCCACAGAACCATTCTGTTGATGTGTATGTGGACATGCTAAACGATGAGCGATCCCAAGCGACTGAAAGAAGGAGTTGAGATTGCGATACTCACCCCCCAGTCCGACTGAACATGAACAATTTTGTGCTTGAGAAGACGTTCAACATGTTTTTGAAACTGAACAACGATATCAAACACATCAGATTTGCGTTTAATAAGATAAAGCCAGGTAAAGCGACTATAAGCATCAACGAAACTGATATAATAATTGTGACCACTGACAGAAGTCTGAGAAGGACCCCATACATCTGAAAATACAAGTTCTAAAGGATGTTTCACCTCACGACTAGACTCCGAAAAAGGAAGTTGATGACTCTTCCCCTGCTGACAAGCATCACACACTGCTACATCTTTATTACTAGATATGCTAGGAAGCTCATGACGACGCAAAACATGACGAACGATAGGTGTGGCTGGGTCACCAAGACGAGCATGCCACTGTGACGAAGATACCCGAACTCCACTGAACACGCGAGCGACATGAGGATGCTCCAAACGATAGAGGCCCTGGCACAACCGCCCGCGAAGAAGAATGTCCCTCGTGCCCCGATCCTTAATAAAAAGATCAAAGGGATGAAATTCACAAAGCACATTATTATCACGTGTGAGTTTAGGAACTGAAAGAAGATTGCGTGTCACAGAGGGAACTCTAAGCACGTTACGAAGCTGAAGACTCCTATTTGCATGCCTAGTAAGAATTGATGCTTGACCAATGTGAGATATATGCATACCTGCTCCATTGGCGGTGTGGATCTTGTCGGAGCCATGGTAAGGTTCACGAGTATGGAGTTTGTCCATCTCACTCGTCAGATGCTCCGTTGCTCCAGAGTCCATATACTAGTGGGATCAACAGAGTATGCCCTTGTTGCCCTTGTTGCTTCGTGGATGCCGGTCGATCTGCCATGGCCACCTGACGTGCAAAGTTGCGCGTGTCCTTGCCATCATTGCCGAGGCCCAAAAAACTCTTCTGGAAGCGTTTGTGGCACTTAGAAGCCCAGTGCCCCTCAATGCCACAAAGTTGGCACACACGCTTCCCACCAGCCCCTGGTAGTGTCGCAGAAGCAGGGGGGGCGAAGGGGGCGGCGGTGGCAGCCCAGAAGAGGACCTGGACGACAACGAAGGGCGACCACCCTTGGTGGCTGTGTTGGCCGAAAGGGAGCCAGCGCTCTTAGAGCGGCGCAACTCGCCCCGCTGCTCAGTGAGAAGGAGGCGGGAAAACACCTCGTGCGCCATCATAGGGTTCGAGTTGCCCCGCTCGTTGATGATCTCGACCAAGGCATCGTACTCCTCGTCAAGACCATTGACAATAAAAGAGTTAAACTCGGAGTCGGTGAGCGGCTGTCCAATGGAGGCCAATGTGTCGGCAAGACCCTTGACCTTGTTGTAAAACTCAGTGGCAGTGGAGTCCAGCTTTTCACACTCCCCAAGCTGACGACGAAGAGCGGATACACGAGCTTGCGACTGCGTCGCAAACGAGCGTTCGAGGATGGTCCATGCCTCATGAGACGTCTTGGCGAAAACAACAAGTCCGGCAACAGCCGGAGTGAGCGACCCCTGGATGGAGGAGAGGTTTGCCTGGTCCTGCCCTGTCCAAACACGGTGCGCCGGATTGTAGACCGGGCCATGCACGCTATCGACCAGCGCAGGGGGACAGGGGAGCGAACCATCGACGTAGCCCAGTAGATAGTGACTCCCAAGAAGCGGGAGGACCTGCGCACGCCAGAAGATGTAATTGTCCGATGACAGCTTGATGGTGATGAGATTACCAAAGTGGAACGGCGGCGGCGGCAAAGAGCCCGCGGGGTAGGCTGCCGGAGGCGTAGACGCCGTAGAGGCAGAGACCGCGGGTGCAGCCGCGGGAACAGGCGACGAATTGGCCGGGCCCGATGCGGCAACGCCAGCCATCAGGGCCGACGGGGGGGCCACCAGCGCGAGGGGCTGGCCATCGCTGGATGGAGCAATCGGGGCCGTGCTGATGGGAACGGGCGACGAGGCACCCGCTATGGCACCAGCGGTTGGAGCCACGAGCGCATGATGATCAGGCGACGGGGAGAACAGGGACCCGATGCTCCTCGTCCCGATCGAGGACGTCGAGGGCGCCGCAAAGTCGAGAGGCCGGGAGAGGAGAGCCGCAAGGGAGGCCGGCAGGAAGCTAGCCGTGGAGGAGCCGGAGGCGGCGGGGCCCGACATGACGGCGGCGGCGCGAGCTCAAGGATGGCGGCGGCGCGGCGCGAGTTGTAGGGTTTTGGTGGAAGCGTGTTGACCTAGGCTGATACCATGTAGGACAATAGATTTGGGGGAACCGGCTCAACCCTTTAGGGGTGGCCTATCACATATATATATAATGAAGAGGTATACAATGTTATATCATATGTATACATATACAGAAGCTATACAGTCTAACAGAGAGCACGAGGTGATGTCGGAGTCGAAAGCACTTCAGTTTTTGTGCAAAAATACTACTGTAAATCCAAACGACATTACTGCTAACTTGGTAAAAAGGGATCAGAAGCTGCTTCACTTTGCCACATGCTGTGATAAGTTTCATGTGTACAGCCTCCAGCAGACTCGAACATGTCTGGCGAAAATGAAATGTTACAAAAGAATTGTCATTGGGATATCCTCTTGCTGAGGCCAGAAAATGTAGCAGCAGAGAAATGGAGATAGCCTCTTGCCTTTCAGTCGCTCAAAAGGCATATCCAGGAATAAAATTGTTGGCAAGGGACACTTGCATTTTGTGCCGCCGTGAAGGCCACCAAAGCACCTCAGCAAGGATCCTTTGTGTACCGGACCGTGGCGTCTCTCTTGTCTTGTGCTCCTATTATAGACAAAATGCAATTTGCATGTGAAAGTATAAATGAGTAGCAATCCACAAAACCGCATTTTATTTGATGCTACTATCATGCATGTACAAGTTTTGTTCAAACATTTTACCAAACCATAACTTTAGAGCATAATTGGTTTGCTACCAACATTTGGCAAAACCAAAAATTACCAACATTTGACAACTTTTTGTGAGATTGGCAGTGAGAATTGGCAAGCAACCAATCTCTAGCCAATATTTGACAGTTTCTGCAACATGGCTCTGAAAATAGTGGGTGCATCCTGACCTGAGTAGCAGCACAAAATCCGACACATGCATTTTAAAGGGGCCTATCATGTAGGGTCGAACATCAACCAATTCATTCGCAAAAGAACATCAACCAATTCACCAGAGTCCTGAAGCGTGCGCGCGCACACACACAGGACTTCACAGTCATATGAAGTGATGCAAACATCCGGCAAGCAAAGAGAGGAAAGAACCAGGGTTTCCACCACTTCGTCGACGCCAACGCGGTCCGCCCCGCCTCTGGTGGCTCTTGGGCCTGGGAGGTGTGGCGGCCCTTGGCCCCCATTGGCGGGACGATCACATCCTTACCGCAGGTAGTTTTAGTGTCTTGGTTGGAGCGTCCCATAGTTAGAATAATATTCTCTCCATTTTATCCTCGCTCTAACAATATGCTTAGCGTTGGCGGAGGGTGTGTGTGGAGGTTTACCCTTGCCGGATCTTTTTGGACCCATTCAAAGTCCGTCTTCCGCAGATCTGTCTGAATTCAGTCGCCTCTCGTTTTCGTTGGCGTTTTTATAGATTTGGCCCTTCTAATCTATATTTCTCATAGGCTGACGATGATTTTCTGATTACTGCAGTAAGGTTTACCCAACCTCAATGCGGGATGGACGATGATGGTGACGCGCATTTGGCTCGCTCCAATGGTTTTAGCTAGATGGTCCATTAATCTAATTATATTTTTTATTACCTTTGGAGATTCTTGTACTAATACCGCATATTATTATATGTCGGATTACTTTTTCAAAAAAAAAGTTCCCACAAAAAAAAGACATAATCTAATTAAATCTGTCTGCATTTGCAAAAAAGGACTCCTGGTCCAGCTCGAACACATGGTACAGCACAGAGATTCACTCAACAGAGGATCCAAGGCACCGGCCACTCTAAAACCAGACAGAGCACCACCGAAGTCTCAGCCTCTCCGAGAGGCCAAGCAGAAATGGCGGCTTCCTGCACGCTCACCGTCCCCGCCCCCTTCGCCGCCGCCTCCTCCTCCTCCTCCACTTCAGCCCGTCGGTACAGGTACCAGCACCGCACGCGGTTCCTCCCCCGTACTGGTCTGCATTCGATTCGTGCGGTCTCGCAAGGCCTGACCCCGTGGTGGTTCTTGCGGTTTTGCCGGGTGCGCGCAGGCGATTCGGGGTGGTTGCCATGGCTAGCGTGGGGCAGAAGGTGTACGCGCCCGGCGTGGCCGTCTCCGACGGCAACGGCGGCCTGCCCAAGATCAGCCTCAAATCCCCGCACGGGAGGTAATTCTGGTTTTGGTTGACTTGGTGGGGGATTTTTCAGGTGTATTATGATGACTTGTGTTGTTCTGTAGTTTAGCTAATGCAGCATGAGTAAGATAATACTCGATCGGACGTAAATAATTTGATAGCCACGGTGAAGATTAAAATCAAGAGTTGGAAAACAAACTGTTTGATATCGAAGTTGATGTTATGGCAGCAGTGCCATAAGGGTTGATGGCTCATTATTTAGAATAAGGCAATACGACACTATTATTTTGTTATGGTGCTAGCATGATACTGAAAGTTTTGAATTATAGTTCAATGGATCTCTGCAGTGCTGAATAGTAGCTAGCACATAATGCTTATATGGACCATGGGTAAGCCTATCATGACTTCTGTTAGTTTCAACTCAGTTCATCACTAGAGTTTCTCTACTACCACAACAGAAATATAGTAGATGGGCTTCCTTTTTACCTATTTGCAACAGCTAATTGTGTACTCACTTTATGCATGAAGTGAGGCTGAGATTTATCTATTTGGAGCATGTGTCACATCTTGGAAGGTTCCCAGTGGAAAGGACCTGCTCTTTGTCAGACCAGATGCCGTGTTCAATGGCCAGAAACCCATCAGGTCAGCCTCGAGACCGATTGGATAAATCTAACGAGTTTAACTCACAGCTAACAATTTCCTTTTCTGAAACTAGCGGTGGAATTCCACATTGTTTCCCCCAGTTTGGCCCCGGTCCCATGCAGCAGCTTTGTGAAGCCATTTTTCAATCACGCCCCATACAGACAGGCATAGAGACCAATATTTGTCAAGATTTCAGTTTTCGGTTCCATTTAAGAATATTAGTTAGCAAATTTATTGTTGATGGGAAACAGATATGTGAACCATGTCCAATGCTAAATCAAGCAATGCATACTAGTTTAGATCAAAATGTTACCTGCATTCCTGCGGGATAGTAAATTCCTGAACTTATATAAAGAATGAGACATCACTAGCCGTTGTTATATAGTTGTGGTGTGAGCAATTATTTACATAATATTCATGCACATCTGTCCATCAACTGTGAAAGAATTGAACATTTTTATGCAGCCTGTTCTTGCGTACTGTAATCAAGGCAAATTTTACTTTCTTGCAGCATGGATTTGCCAGGAATGTGAATTGGTCTATTACTGATTCAGAAGTCACAGAAGGAGATCCAACTGTAACTTTGGAACTAAAAGACGACTCGTACAGCCGTTCAATGTGGGATTTTAGTTTCCAAGCTTTATACAAGGTTAAGCCCTGGTGTAGTAGCATGTGCCTCCATGCACTCTTATCTGCGAAATCATAAGCCTATTAATGCTATCCAGTAATCGGAGCTGGAATTCGGAATTCCAATCTTGCCCTTCTGCAGAATATGAAATTGTGCTTGTTTAATTGTTCCGTAGGTTGTGCTGCACTCTACAAGCCTGTCAACGACCCTGAAAATAATAAATACAGACGATAAACCTTTCTCGTTCAACTCAGCCCTCCACACTTATTTCAGTGTAAGTTGCAGCTTTCTGAACGGAGCCAAACTAACATTTGCTTGCTAAACTCTATAGATTTTCGCTTTCACATTAAACACATCAAATGTTTTTGTACAGGCTTCCATCGCTGGTGTTTCAGTGAAAGGTCTCAAAGGTAGCAAGACTCTCAATAAGGATCCTGATCCTAAAAATCCTCTGGAGGGCAAAGAAGAAAGGTCAGTTTGAGCTGGTCTGCTAGTGCAGTCTTAGTTACAATATATCTTAACATTACAAGTTTACAACATTGAAACTCCCAGGGTCTCACACTCCCACATGTTTCCAAGAACTTCGCAATAAAGCTAACCTCATCTGTGGAAAATAAGAGTACTCACACTAAACACTAAGCATTTAGTGTCATTTCATTCTATGGTGTGCACAACTTAGTGCTATTGCATTTCTTAATTTTCTTTTCCTAATCTATTGAATTGACTTAGTTGTGACTTTCAAAGCAAGTATGCACTCACTGAAGCAACATATCCTAGTGTAAGTTGCTGAGCATGAAGTAAATATCTGGACGTGCTTCTGAGTCGCTTCCTTTCGATGCAGGGACGAGGTGACCTTTCCAGGATTTGTGGACTGTGTTTACCTTGGCGCACCGACTGAGCTTACACTGGACAATGGATTGGGTGACAAAATTGTAATCTCAAACACAAAGTAGGTTTAATTGATCTGTAAAACAATGCATCCCTTTTCAACATTGCAAAGATCACATGATCAAATTGTTGTTACTATTTGAAATGCAGCTGGTCAGATGCAGTGTTGTGGAATCCTCATTTGCAGATGGAGGCATGCTACAAAGACTTTGTTTGTGTTGAAAATGCAAAGGTATGAACAGAAGTTGATAAATGCACATACTTTTTCTTGTCTACTCTTCCATGTTCCTGAATGAATCATGGGAGAGGCACACTGGGTGATTGCACAATTTTGACTGATGGTATGACTGATTGCATCATGTAGATTGAAACAGTACAACTGGGTCCAAAAGAATCTTGGGTGGCAGAGCAGAAAATTGAACTTGTCTGAAGCTAATGGGTTGAGAACAGTACAGTGCGGCGACGTCAAAGGGCCCTTTTACGTGTCTGGCAGTGTAAACATGTGTCATTCCCCGGTGTACTTCAACTTATGCCCTCACATCAGATGTACATCTTATAACTATTTTATGTTTTATAAGTAAATAAAGTAATTCAGTTCTTATTTCCCTTCTCTGTGGTGGTCGGCTATCTTGTATGTTCTGCTCATAGTTGAATGAGACAGGGTTAACATTTTTCCATGTAAGATGTATCTAGCTCTAGACAATATATTCTGTATGTATTGTTGCTCTTTTTACAGTAGAGAAACAAGCAAGGGCTGCTCAAATTTGGGATAAATCAGATTTGTTCATAGTAATCTCCCTGATTCAAAGAACAGTAATCACTTTTTTTAACACCTGCTTATCAAGCACTTGTCAATTAACTACCTGGCATAAAAACGAGTCCGTGCAGTCAGAAGGAATAGGTGCGGTCAGTATCTTCATGAATATATGGAAATATATTGGTCGATTGTATTCCCCCAGAAGCAATTCGAATATCCGTATATTGGTCAATTTTATCTCAAAAGGAAATACAGTTTCATGACTTCACTAGGTTTTATTTTATAAATATATTGAGTACGAAACTGCCTGTTGAGACTGTTTAATGTCCAAGAATGTTCTAATAATAATGAAGCACACATCACATTATGAACCATATAGCTGTGCCTGCTTTTACTTGATGATTTCTGTGAGTTGGCTGTTGCTAGTATGCTAGAAACTGGGTTGCCATATTCATATGATCCCCAGACAAGGGATAAATTATTGAAAGTTCGGACATTATCAAGCATACAATATATTGTTGGCAAAAAACGAAATATTACATCCCAGCTCTAATCTAGCTTAACTTGAGAGCAATGGGCAGAGGAACAAGAGAAGGCAAACTAATTTACAAAGGGGAACTGTGACAAGGTTACAGTTGAGGGTTTCATTCTCAGGTTGGGATGAACCTACCAAAACCGGCAGAGGGGCACTGGTTCAATTTGTTTTTCATGTAAAAGACCCAAGTAGCAGCCCTAGTTCAAAGGTTTTATAGGACGGGTTTCACGGGTCGACCCAGGCCGTTTTTTAACACCCTTAGTTCCGGGGGTTCAGTCACTCAAGCCATAAACTCGTTTGGCCGAGTCAAGTGTGTTGGCAAGAAGCATTGCAATGGTGACTGGTCCCACTCCGCCTGGAACTGGAGTTATAGCAGAAGCCACATTCACTGCTTCTTCGAAGCAGACATCTCCAGTTAATCGATAGCCAAAATCACTGGCTGGATCC